GCTGTGTTCTGAAAGCATCAAGCAATCGGAACCGCTGCGTACTGTGCTGGAGTTCACACCTCGCTCCCCTTCGCCATCCCTGCAGGCTGTCGCTGCCGGGAGCCCCGGAGCCTCGCAGGCTCCACGGATGCACCTCGCTGCGAGTCCCGAGTCAAAGGAGAAGAGAGCTTGAGGGCCAGTGAGCACAAGGCACAGAGAGGCAGGAAAGAAACCCTGCAAAGAGCAAGTGCTCCTTGGGCGAAGAGTGGCCCAGGATTAACACCAACCTTCCCGCCCCGGCTGCACCGGAGATTTGCCCGGAAGCACAGACCAAGACTCTCCACACCCGGCTCAGACGGAGCCCACTGAGATGGGACTCTGCCTCCAGGACAGACCCAGCACGCGGCCACTGGAGCCTGCTGGGAAGCCATGGAGGGCACAGGGAGGTGCCTCCCCCACGCAGAGGCATTCCTAAAAGCTGCTGCAGCCCCAGCACGCCCTGCAAACCGCTCAGTGGAAATGCTGCTTTAAAGCCCCTTCAATCGCACAATAAATCAAACAGCAGCATGCATGAGGGTCAAAAAATTAAACTCCAGTGCTGTACCACAGCACAGGACTGAGGGAATGACTTCCTCTGACTCACGCAGTGAGTCACTGCTGCAGCATTTGTTATTTGTACTAATTATTCTTTGCTTTATATGCTCAAAAAAAGGCACCTCTCCCTCCTCCAGCTTTTCCTGTGGTGACATTTCAGCAGCCATAAAACGCAAGCCATCTCTTTAGCAGAAGACAGCTTCTTCTGGAGATGTAAAACAATGATTAATTCTTCAGGCGTTTTAGCTTCCTCTTGCACAGGAGCATTAGCAATACAGACAGAGGGATGCTCAGAGTCTGAAGGTAGTGGTGAAGCCTGGAATGTCCTCAAGTAACTTTTCCCTCGCTGCTTGGAGCAGGAACTTCAGACTGAGCCATTTTGGAACAGCATTTTCAAGAGCACAGGATCCAGCTGCACCTTGTGGGGAAGGGCTACTCGCAGAGACAGAGCCAGAGCACAGTGTGACTGCACCCGAAGGTCAGTCCAGGCAGCGCTAGGCAAGATGCAGACCTGTAACTAAGGCTGCTCCTTGCAGGGTCTCCATCAGCCTCAGCTGTCAGAGAAGTCAGCAAAGATGCCTGCTCAGCACCCTGTGGCAAGCGGACTTCAGGCAGGCCAGCCAACCCACCACCAAGAGGACATGCGGGTGCCTGCAGCTGAGCTGTGCCGGCAGGGAGGGTAACAGGGCTGGAGGCCAGGACAGACCAGCACCCCGGCCGAGCAGGAAGGAGCAGCTCCACACAGCCTTCACCAGACACCAGCCACTTGAGCTGCAATTGCTCCAAGCTCCTGCAGAGCAGTTGGCTCCTATGATCCATCTGGTTACAGGGGCCTCAGGATATCCTGCAGAACAGGAAAGGCCTGCAAAAGACATGTGTTCCACCTCCCTGCTCGCCTCTGCTCCCTTCCTGGCTTAGTCCTGCCCAGGAGGGAAGCAGCCTCAAACCTGCCTGGCAGATCACATCGGAAGCGCTCAGCTACATTCACTGCTGCCGCCTGTAAACCTGACAACAAACTTAGTGAGGGGAGTCCACCACGTCTGGAAATCTCAAGGGTCTTGAAGGTATTTCTGAAATACAGTAGCTCAGGATACCATAAACCAGTAACTCACATCTTCAGAGGTGTTTTTGGTGTTCTAGATGTTATCCTCGCATAAACAAATGCGATAGACTGGCAAGGATTCTGGCTTTCACCCCGGCTATACACACACCAGCAAGCGCTGCTGCCCAGCGTGCCGCTGACTTGTCCAGAGAACAGTTGGTGCCAAGGACCTGCTGTCCACAGGTTTAGGCGGTTTCCCACCATCCTAATGCTAGCTCAGCCCTGCAGATGCATAACCCCTAGCAGGTGGGATGCATTCGGGGTGATCTTGGACCACATCCTGCAGTTCAGCTCCATCCAGAGGGAATTTTTATCTGTGCTCACAAGGAGTACTCTGCAACACGAACTCATGCACGGTAACTGGAGTCTACATGGAGAGATGCTTCAGATGCACAGTCCCATCTGTAAATGCACCCTTTAACACTAGCCCAGCTCACCTGGGTGAGAAGAAAAGAAAATAACCTCCCAAAACAATGCCTCTGTCACTACACTGACAAACAGGACGACGACTGCCTGCTCGGCTATTGCCAGCACAAAAGCTAGCACAGCAGCAGACCTTGGAGCTCACGGAAGACAAACCTCCTGAAGCAACTAAATAGACAGAAACCGCATCTGTTTCTGAAAGTCCCATGCACTGGAGACAGTTAAAAGGTGGGAGGACATTAGGGAAAGCTGTTCTTTGCCAGACTTCTGCTTAAGGCCTCTGCTGGAGACAGGGCACAGGCGAGCCTGCTGGAGACGAGAGGCAGCCCGAACACGCTGCTGGTCTGGTCTGGTGTGATCATTCCTTTATTTTTAAGTAACTCCTCTCTGTTGCCCCAGAAGGGTCAGTAGTTCCCTTCCAAAGGCAAGCAGCAGCTGCAGCAACTGCTCCTCTTAGTGCACGGCCTGGAATAAACTGACATTACGGTGGGATTTGGACCGATTGCCTCTTAGGCCTAGGGATTTACCTGCAGCTCAAGTGAAGCCTCAGGAACAAGATTCAGACATGAGAAGCGGAACATCTTGTCTGCAGTCGGACTTATTTAGGAACAGGCAAGGAGTGTTTAATTATCTTTGAAGTTCAGACTAGCCTTAAGAAAAAAGTTACACTCCTTCTCTCCATGCTTTCCCAGTTGGAAAAACAGAACAAGTCTCATAACTGGACCCTAATTAAGAGGCTCTCACAGAAGGCAGGTTACATATGGGAGATGAACTAGGTGGTTTTCATTTACTGTCAAGAGCCACAATTAAATAAGTGTTAAGTGTGGGGACTGTGAGCTCCCACTGAGGGCTGAAGGGGATTGCCTACCGCTAAGCACATCTGGGCTGATGTAGGCAGGGCTCCCTCGCTGGTCTTTCAGCAGGTCATCTTCACTCACCAGGTGCTTTCCAAGACAGAAGTTTGTTATGGTTATTCGATGAGTCCTGCGGAGAATCAGAAGGCATCAGTGAACAAAGACCTGCACGAGCCAAACAGCACAGAGGAAGCTGACCAGAACAGAGGTGTGTCTGTGGGGCTTTTGGGGAAGCTTGAAGTGCAGGGAAAAGACAAGCAGAGCTGTTAAGATCAACTCCGTCCTGATGGGGAGGGATTCCACACGTCAGCATGGCTTGCAAGGCTCTTACAGAGGGTAAGAGAATCTCTTTATGGACGCCCAACCTGAAGGGCATGTGTAAGCGTGGCTGTAAGCACGGGGTGCTTGCTAACTTGCCCACCTTGCAGCCAGCCCCCCAGGAGCAGCCCCCCTAGCCAGCAGCACAGCACCAGGATCTGCACTGTCCTGCCTGCTGGCCACTGCAGGGTAGGAGCGCTAACAAAGTAGGAGTTTATTTTAACAGCTAGTTCTCCCCTACACTTCCCAACCACCGTTTCTAAAGGCATCTTCTCCACACGACATTTCCTGGAAGCTGAAGGAACATACCCTACAGGAAGGGCTGCCCCGTGCCTGCCCTCCACGCGCCGCTTGCTTACGCGTCCCCAGCAGACGAGCTGCAGGACCTTTGATCAGATTCAGCTTAACCACCTCTGCGTTACCCAACAGTCCCGCAGCAAGAGCCTGGTGGCAGTTTTACCTGATCTGCAGGACTATTCCCCACATGAAAGTATGCAGAACAGAGAAAGTCTCACCAACATCCAAACCCCCTCCTACACTGAAGTACTGCAGAAAAGGTGAGAACTGCAGGTACATGCAATTTCTGTATTAAGATACCCCTACTTCCCTATGATATAGCCAGCTCCAATAAATTTACTTTTCCAGGGAAAGGGAGCTCATTACAAACTCACGACCACATTTAATCTTCCACGTCACTCAAGACAACTTGGATTTTAATGTACAACTTAAAGGACAGAACAGAAAAATACTGTCTAGAAGATTTCTGTATTCTTGAAAAGAATTACACAACTAGAGCCCAAGAGCATGAATTAAGTCAGTCAAAACAACAAAAAAATATTTCAGCAAATGTAACTGACAAGTGAAATAAAACGAAGCGTGGGTTGGCAACGGTGAGTTGATTATTAAGAAAGGCAGGCTTGTGTTTAAGAAGCGTTAGCTTCAGCTGCCAAGAGGCTTCCCCAGCTGAATAACAATATGCAGGATTTGTTAAAGATTTAAAAGACTAAGTGTTCTAAAGGACACTAAAATGTTCAGGGTTGCTTGATTTAGTCACTGCAATTTGATCTAATCTGTAATCATCCAAGTACCGCACTGGTTAATTGGAAACCTTGCGAGGCTTTAATGTCCGCGTCTCGCAGGGGACAACGTCCGAGGGCTCTTCATCAGCCCAGGGCGCAACGCGGCCGGTCAGGACTCCGCAGTGATACGCAGCTACCTTCGCTCCCCCACCAACAGAAAAGACCTGGCTCTTTTGTGAGCACGGCTGGAACAGAACAAACACTTCTGATCAGCCCAAATGACTGGTCCTCTCCATGGTGATCTATTCTTACGCCTCACCCACCCTTTCATATGACTCACTGCTGTAGAGGCTACAGTTTGTCCTCACCAAAGCCGATTGTCTTGCTAGTAAAAAAGCAAAAACATCGCATGCAATACCTAAAATGACTCTGGTGAGCGTGTTCACAAAGCTACAAACACCTCCCCTTCCCTGTTAGTGGGGGCCCCTTATGCAGCTCTGTCAGGGGGATGCTCCAGCACACACTTTGCCCAGAAATAAGGGACACTCTGGGTGGCAGCTCTTTAAAGCAGCAACCTTTGTCTGCCTCTTCCTAGCAAGAAGGAGAATCAAAGCAGCAAGCAGAAGATAAGAGATTTATCTTAAAGCAGCTCTACAGAAACGACTTAAAACAACTTACAGGTGGCCCTGAAAACCACGAGCTGCTGCGTGTGTGGGAGAGAACCACACAGTTCAGCCTCAGTAGGTAAAATCTGTTTGCTTTCAAACAGTATTAGGGAGGAGAAAAAGGCAAGCAGTGACCACAGAGAACCTGCATGCTGCGTACAGACTCTGGAAGCCTGCAGACCCAAAGCCTTCCAGTTTTTTATTCATTCCACAGAAAACCAGACAGTGTGAAAAGACAACGAATTCCACTCATTCTTAAAGTCAGCACAAAATATTTAGCCAGTAATGTAATATTGAAGGACACGGCAGAGTATCTGAACTGGAACTAGCTTGCCAACTAAATAACTACGTAACCCAGGACAACTAGAAGAACTCCAAGGAGCCACCAAGCCAAGCGCAGGCTACCACCAGCTGCCCGTCGCGCGTGCTGAACTCCGGCCCCACCGGTGCCGTTCGCTCCGCGCCGGGAGGGCCGGTCCCTCCTGGGTCTGCACAGCACCCAAGGCATGTTGGACATCCACGCGTTACAAACTGCGGCTTGCATCAAACCAGCTCATGGGAACAAGGAAGCTATTCCAAGCACAAACGCAGACTAGACAGAAGAACTTTTGTTTAGATAAGTAAATATTTTACTGCTAGCAAAAACACAGCAGTGCAACAGTCAAAGATTTAACACTGCTGTGATTATAGTACAGACTGCAGTGCTGGGAATTCCTTTAGCACAATGGAAAGTGAATTATGTGAACAGAACCACTTAGCACACTTTGATTTTTTTTTTTTATATATACACAACATAAGCATTTCTCCTGCAGGCTTCTGAATTACTATAAAATTTAGTTTTCAGAAGTTAGAATCCAAAAAGTGCTGACACAGAGTCACTAAGCTTGGGGGAAGAGTGAACTGCCGAGGTGCGGCTCAGTTCATTTCTGGAGATTAACTCATAGAACTTTGAGCTGGATTTGTGGTTTTGTGCAGCCTGCTCCCATTTCCCTCGCCCTTCTCACACGAGAGCCCTCACAACAAGTGCTGCCTTCAGTTGTGTTTCCAACAGAAATCTGCTTCGGGAAGAAACAGAACACAGCTGCCAGAACAGCAGCTCTCCAGCAGACTTACCTTTTGTTTAGCACCATATTTCCTAGTTTCAAGTCTCTGTGCACAATATTTTTCTGTAAAATACATAATAGTATAACATGAACAACAGTGTATTTGTTATAGAAGTATAAATCTGGTACTTGGACAAAAGCACCGAGTATCTGAAATCACGTCATCTTCCTTCTCAGAAATAACCTACGTCACGGTTTCAGGTCAGGTTGCATCCTGGGTACTTTGTGCACTTCATTTTCGGTTCTGGTCATGACAGAACAAGCAAGTTTGCTGCTTTGAACACGCAGGCAGACTTGACTGAAACCAAGAGGCCTGAAACTTAGGTGTCCAGGCTCACCAAGACCAACATGACGAGCACTTCCTCAGAAGATACCTGCTTCATGGCTCTGCTCCCTTGTCACAGGGCAAGAAGCCAAACATCGGCAGAATCTATTTTTGTTACAATAATTTCTAGTTCATTGATCTCAAACTTGTAGCTTGAGGTTCTGACCTCAGAAATCAATTCTTACATTGTGATTTATTGTGCTTCGAAAGGAAATAGCTTGAAGAGCTTCCTGCATTTGATTAGCCTCTGCTCTCCTCTTCAACCACCCCTTTCTGAGGTTAGGAACACTCTAGTTCACCTGATCTGCATTTAGTCCAGCTGGCCCCTCTCCACAGTCAACAAATACTACCTTACCATCCAGAAACTTGAGGGGAGGGGAGGGGAAGGGAAGGGAATGCTCTTCTATGGCTTGGGGCATGAGGCCTTATGCAGAACACTGTCACACGGAAACAGCTGAAATACCCACGCTCTGCAACCTCACCACTGCCTGCACAAGGAAGTTTTAAACCATCTATTGTACTAACGTGGGAAAAGTGTCTTCCAGCACTGAAAGGGATAAATAACAAAGATCTTACCTTATGTAATGCTTCTACCACTCGTACCACATCATAAAATATCACTACCGTCTCCCGCTCACTGAGTCTCTTCTCTTTAATGACATAATGCTGCAGATTGATCAGATCTGCTGTTTTGTCACTGAAATCATGAGCACACAGACAGTCTAACACAAGACAAATCCGCTTCTTCATTTTTCTGACCATTCTGTTGGCTTCTAGATCTTCTATAATTTCACAAGCTCGGTCCTACAGGGAGGCAAACAAACGAGCAATAGTTCAGGGAAGCCATCTGGGCATATGGGCTTATGTACCGAGCACTACAGAGCAACTCACTACACGGTGATCTCAAAACAAGCAAACGCAATCGTACTGCTTGATCTTTGCCCCAAGATGGGATTTCAAAAAGAAGATACATGATCTCTATTTAAAGAAGCCAGAGAAAGTCTATGCTGTTTGACTATACGCATGTCAGCACCCATACGTACACACAGACACCTTCAGGAAAACCTAGACAAACTCTACAGCGGTACAGACTCCGTGAATACCAGGGATCCAACACATTATTAAGGAGAAGAACAGAAATCTTAAGACATAATTAGCAGTTCTTCCATAACATTAAGCAGGACACAGCAGGGTTGGACATTTGGCTTATTTAACAGGTAGTACCGTCGGCCTCAAGTGAAAAGTCTGCTGCCAAAACGTAACCAGCAAGGAGGGCAATACCCACATCCAAACCAGTAATCAGCCCATAGCATCCACGAGCAGCTCTGAAGGTGTTCACAGCAGTGTGTTTCACTCACGCAAGATGTTGATCGGCACATTGCCTGGTTTAATTTGCTGAAAGAGTTTCTTGACAATTTGTCCCCTCTTACAGGTCATGATAAAACAATACAGAGACTGGAAAGCATAAACTCAGTTCTAGAGGGTGCTCTACGGGCACAATTTAATTTGCCAGTGAAGCAGCTATTTTCCTACTTGAAGGGGACACTACTGAGCACCTGTCCCATCTCCGAATGTTCTCACGCTTTCCAAATCCCAAACGCCATTACATCCCACTTAACTCTCAGAAGCCTCTGCCACAAACTTGCTTGTTCCAAGAAGCAGCACCACTCAATCTCAGCGGTGTGCTGGTAACGCTTTACTCACAAGAACAGGGTCAGCACGAACTGTACTTTAAACAAAAGCAGCTCAAGCCAATAGCAATTACTGGCATTCCCCCAACCTGGATGGTGATCAGCAGTACCTGAAAGAGCCCGTGATGATGAACCACTCCTTCCTGGTTGTGGAGCAGGGAAAGGAGAGAATACTCCGTGTGCAGCAGCATCTTGCCCTGTCGTTCCTCTTGGGTTTCTATTCCTTTATCACCCCTTTCTTCTAAGGTGAGAATCTTCAGGAAAAGGGAAAAAAACCTTTACAGCTCCCAGGACAACCCAAATGCCCCCAAACCTCTCTCACATTTTAGGTATTCACATGTGTTTAACAGCTGATGTAATTGCTCTGATGTTTGCATACTTGAACTAACATCTGTGCAGAACACACAGCAGGAGCTTGGTCAACACAGAAAGGCTGCTCAGGTGGCATTTTGCAATTATCCCAGGTGATTTTTCCCACCAGATCCGCCCCCATTTCAGGCACAGCAGAGCAGATCAGAGGGCTCCAGGAGAGCAGCACAGCAGCCACAGAGGCCTCGTCTCAGGGCTAATCTCAACACCAGATCTGCGCCTGGCAGAACTGCCCTGCCGAGGGAAGTTCCAGCAGCCATTTCCGACAGCACACCCGTTCAGCCTACACCACACGCTGCTGCAAGCGCTTCTGTCACGAGAGCTGAAGTTAAAGAGCCCTGAAGATCTGGAAGCCCTGCAGTTCACTTACCTTGAGCTGATAGAAGTCATCTGTCCCATCCTTTCTTGCCAAACACTGAACAATGCTTGGCACAGGGGAGTTACCTAAACGTGGACCTAGCAGCACAAAGCAAAAACAGACTTGTTTTCGTTTAAGCAGCAATGACTAATTCAGGGTTACACCAGTATGCAAGTGTCACGCAGCTTTACGTTAGTTTAAACTAAGTTCCTTTTTTTCAGGAGACTAAGTGCATTTCCACAAATTACAATCTAAAAAACCACTACTGAATTCAAACCTTTTTGGACAATGTTTCATTTGTTCACTGGAGAAACATTTCACAAAAGCCCACACAGGGCACAGCTGTTTTCAGAAAATTCAAATTTCTGCATGCCTGAACCATACGGCTTTTACATTTACTAGCAACACCCATGGCAACTGCTGTTACCACACCTCTGAACCCAACTGCCACCTCGGCAGGGACTGCTCAGGTACACAGATTAGTCCAAATTTCAGGTTAACACACAGTTTCCACTCTTCAGTTTAAATCAATCAGCTTCCAATTGATTAGCCATTGCTTCCCACTGTGAAGTCCATCGGGGTTTTGACAGTTTATTCAACGAGTTCTGAACTAACAGCTATTCTAGCAGCTCTCAAACAGTGGCAGAGTGGTCTTGCTGTGGCACATACTGCTCATAGTGACCACTACTGCGTTATTAGGTTGCCTGTATGCTGATTCGACAGCATATTCCAGGCAAGCTGGGTTGAACATCTCCCCAGAGCTCCAACCAAAAAGCCCCTTGAACGAATATGCTCTTTAGCCAAGTTTAAGAATGTAGTTAAAAAAAAAAAGGGGGGGGGGGGAGAAGGGCCTAATTTTTCT